TCCGAGGGTGGGGGAACACTTGTCGAGCATTTACTCTGCACTGAACTGTGTTTGCAAAATAAAATAAGCTCTCGAAGACGTGTTTCCGTACTAGATGTGCATCCATGGCCACCCCTACCCAGCCTCCCACTGAGGCGCCCACCCCCTTAATCTCACCCCTGCCCGGAGAACACTGAAGCACAGCAGAGGGTGAACCACTAGCCAACAACAGAGCTGTACGTTTGGAAAGAAAGGAATCAGGACAACCCCTTCCTCCTCACTCCACATGATACCGAGAGTGCACTTCATCTGAAATGCATCTGGGCTAATAAGCAGCTCTAGAAGAAAAGCTGGCTCCTGTCACTCACCCACTTGGATGTGTGGATATGTCTAGGCACCTGACCTTGCTTCTAACCTCACGCCGTGCTCAGCTACCAAAGCAACGGGTTATAGTTGGGAGAAAGGGAATAGAAAAAAATGAATTTTGGAGCTTATGCTTAAATTACAGAGCTTGGCCTGCTTCTCCCTGGCCCCACTCTCACGGCATGAGCACTGTGGGGAACACAGGACGGCAGGAGGATGCTGGGGTCAGCTAATAATAGTGATAATAATAATGGCTTATACAGCTGAGCTCCTCTGGGCAAAACTCTCCACATCGATTCTCTCTCTCACCCTCTTGGCAGCCCTGGCAGCTACTATTTCCAGGCCTGTTTTACATATGTGGAAACTGAGGCACAGAGAAGGGACACGTCTTGCCCAGAGTCGCAAAGCCAGGAATGGCCTGACCCAAAGCCACACCCTTAGCACAATGCCGAGGCCCCGGGGTGAGAGGAAGTCAAGGGCTATCAAGGGCAGCTTCAGACATTTCGAACTCTTACTGGAAAGAAGAGGAAACTCCTCCCTTCTCCACGACAGCACCCTCTTCTCCGGTGCTAGAGCTCACACGCCTTTGTCGGTGCTTGTCCTGGGCCACGATCCAGGTGACACAGACGTGTACAGACCCGCCAGAGGAACCAGCGCCACTGAAACCCTGGAAACCCAGGGAAAAAAGGCTTTTGGAATGTGCTTGTTTATAAGGTGGAAATTGTCTGTGTTTGCAATTTAGGTCGCTGGATTTAGCATCAGCCCAGAATAGTTTCCTGGGCCTGACGTGCTCCTTGGTCATAGGTCAAATTGTTCCATGAAAATGAAGAAGGCTCATTGAATGCGTAACTAGCTAATCATGAAGCTTTCTCGTGCTAAGGTAGGGAGGTTTTATTCTGTTTCTAGAGTAGGAAAGAGCTGGATTTCTCTACTTATGTGCACATTTAGGTAAATTATATTTCTGTAAGTGAAGGAACCTGAATTATTATTGCAGAGTCACAGTCCCTAGATAAGTAACGCCACCCAACTTGCATTCATCCACCCATCAGATACTTATTGAGACCTATTGTATACCGTCTATCTAGCCCAATCCAGACACACACAATAAAAGGTTTCAGAACTGAAAGAAAACATAAGAATCTGTGGAGCTGAATCCTGAGGAGGAACGTGGGCCGCGGGTAGAAACGCCCTGCGAGGCCTGCGCCAGCGCGGCCAGAACGCGGCGGGCGCGAGGCCTGACCCTGCCCCTCACCAGCTAATGCCACGGAGCAGCCCCAGAGCCTCCCGCGGCTTCGGTTTCCTCGTCAGACGGACAAAATCGTGGAAGGACATCTGCCCTGCCCCCCACTGATGGCTGCGCCTTTGGGTGACTGCCGCTCGTGCCTGTGCCCTGCAGAGCTGTGCGTGCCCAGACGCGGGTGACTGCAGTCGGGTCACGGCAGTGAAGCTAGGAGTAGGCAGGGACCACCCTCTTCATATGTGGCCCAGTAGGCAGGGACCACCCTCTTCATACATGGTTGTGGGTTTCAAGAAATAAAAATCCTAAGCCCCGCAGCCAACTAGGCAGACCTCTCTTAGCCAAAGAGACTCCAAAGAAACCTTAAAATCTGAGTTCTGGGCCATGACCGGATGGAAGGTGGAGCATGCCTGTTATACCCCATCCTTCACTAACCACCACTAGGCTTTCTTTCCTAACAGTTAAATAGAAATCAGCCCAGAAGGACTCCCCTCCCTTTTTGTGGTTTTGACACAATAACTGACCAGCATTCCTTCTTGATAAGAGACCACCAGGCATGGCTGGTTCTGGCCAGTTCACAGAGGCCGCACAGGATGCCTCTGTGTCCTGCCGGTTCACCCTTTGACAGATAGAGCCGGAGTTTAATGTATTTGAATGTTAAGTTCCCACCCCAAAGTGAACACGGGGTGTATGTAACATGCATGTTTGCTTACTACACTTGCTTGCGTCCCCCACTTTGTGAATATTCATAGTTCCTCTTGTAAAGTGTTAAATACATACACTTAGCCAATCCATTTGGCAAAAATTCCTGTCCCACCCTTCCCTCCCTAAGTGTCTGCTTCCAGTTTCTGCCAGAGGCTCCGTCCCGGGCTGTGGGATGGCCAGTCTGCAGGCTGCCACCCTTCATAAGAAATACAGCTCTCCTCTCCGCATTTATGAACCTCGTGACTCTTCAGCTGGCAGTCTCAATGGTGTGGTTGCCCGCTGCATGGGGACGGGGAGGTGGGGCTGTCAAGCAGAGCTACTGCGCAAGGACGTCCTGGTGCAGCCTACGTTCCCATCCAGAGCCGAGGACTCATCCATCAGCTGCCGGAGGGCTGGCTGCGAGGGTCCAGGGTCCGTGGCTGAGCCACTCCCGGGCATGGGAAGGAGTCCCTCCTCCCCCAGAGGCAGCCCACATCCAGTGGCCTACTGGGCAGCGTGGGCCCCTTGCCCCAGCTCTCAGAGCTCCCTGAAGGATCGGCTGAGGCCCCGCCTGTGACTATCAACTCTGTCCCACACGTCCAACTTGTCACACTGCCCAGCTCTGCTCCTCTCACTCCCTGCAGAGCTCTCTGAGAGCCTCGGGAAGCCCCTGCGCACACACCTCCCTCCCAGGGAAGCTGACCCCAGCACCTCCAAGGGAACTTCTCCCCAGACAGGGGGTCTCTGAGCACAGGCTCAAAAGGGCAGTGCCGGCGCCCTCGGGGTCCAGCTCCATTTGAGCCACGCTGCTCCCTCCTCCCTCAGCCCAGGACAGCCTGACCCTGAGGGGAGGGGGATTGTCGCTGAGGCGGTCTTTGCCCACCCGAAGTGTCATTGCTCCCAACACCCACACAGAGAGGCACAAGGGCCATCTTTACCTGCAACAGCAGGAGGCAGAGTGCAGTACCCACCCCTCCCCAGCCGCCCGGCTCTCCACACGGAGGTCCTGGCGGGTGAGCCACCACGGGCAGCTCTGCAGGGAAAGAGCTGTGCCCACAGCTGCCTCCTAGGTAGCAACAGGGCCGCATGGAGGGTGGACACATCTTCCAGCCTGCCGGGGCAGTGGGCGGTGGCACGCGCGGGACAGGAGGAGGCCACTTGGCGCACCGGCAGAGATCGGAGCCGTGTGACCACAAGCCGAGGCGTGCTGGCTGCCGCCGAAGCTGAGGGAAGCAAGGAACGGATTTCCCTAGAGCCTCGGGGCGGGCACAGCCCGGCCAACACCACCATCTCGGCCAGGAAAACTGAATTCGGACCCCTGGCCTTCAGAACCGGGAGAAAATAAACGCCTGTTGTTTTAAGCCACCAAGTTTGAGGTAATTTGGTACAGCAGCCCCAGGAAGCCACCACGACACCCACGTGTGTCACTTCAGGAGGACTTGTGCCCAGACTCCACTCACTTTTCTCAGCTATAGAGTAACTTCCTTCCTGCTGATACGACAGGATAGGGTAGGATTGCATAGGCTAGGATAGGGTAGGGTAGGATAGGTAGGGTAGGGTAGGGTAGGATAGGGTAGAGTAGGGTAGGGTAGGGTAGGATAGGGTAGGGTAGAGTAGGGTAGGGTAGGGTAGGATAGGGTAGGATAGGGTAGGGTAGGATAGGGTAGAGTAGGGTAGGGTAGGGTAGGATAGCATAGGGTAGGATAGGGTAGGGTAGGGTAGGGTAGGGTAGGGTAGGGTAGGGTAGGGTAGGATAGGATAGGGTAGGATAAGGTAGGGTAGGATAGGGTAGGATAGGGTAGGATAGGATAGGATAGGGTAGGATAAGGTAGGGTAGGATAGGGTAGGATAGGGTAGGATAGGGTAGGATAGGGTAGGATAGGGTAGGGTAGGGTAGGATAGGGTAGGATAGGGTAGGGTAGGATAGGGTAGGATAGGGTAGGATAGGTAGGGTAGGGTAGGATAGGGTAGGATAGGTAGGGTAGGGTAGGATAGGGTAGGATAGGTAGGGTAGGGTAGGATAGGATAGGGTAGGGTAGGATAGGATAGGGTAGGATAGCATAGGATAGGGTAGGATAGGATAGGGTAGGATAGGTAGGGTAGGGTAGGATAGGATAGGGTAGGGTAGGATAGGGTAGGATAGGTAGGGTAGGGTAGGATAGGATAGGGTAGGGTAGGATAGGATAGGGTAGGGTAGGGTAGGATAGGATAGGGTAGGATAGCATAGGATAGGATAGAAGGCTCTCCCCTACCATTTCTTATTTACAACAGCCATTTTAAGAACAAAGAAGTGGTTTTCTACTGGTAGGATTTCAAACACCTGCAGGAGATGTTGGAGTCATGGGGACGGGAGGGGACAGTGGACCAACGCAGAAAAGCACAGTTCCTCCCCGCTGTGGGTTGAATGCACGTGTTCCTGCACAATCCGTGTGTTGGAACTTAAACCCGAGGTGGTGCCATTCGGAGGCAGAGCCTCTGGGGACGTGAGTAGATGCTGAGGGCTGTGCCTCACTACACCTACACATTAGTCCAGCCCTGATTTTAGAGTTCCAGGCCCAGAAAAGTGTCACCATTAGAGATGACTCCAGCCTGGGTTGGTTTTCAGAGGGGCTGGGGGACCCACGGGGTAGATCCGCTCCTCCCCAGATGGAAGGACCAAGACTGAGTCCTTCAGCCCCTTGGATCCAGAAGTCCCCCGCCACCCGGACCACACCCGGCCGGCCCGGGCCGGACCCACCTGCTGCGTTTCCCCAGAGGAGGCGTTGCACAGGCCGAGGGGCGGGGGCGCCCGCTTGCACCGCTGCTCCCCATCGCTCAGCGCCCACGAGTTGGCAAAGTCGTAGGGGTCCGAGGTCAAGGTCCCTGCGGAGCAAAATTTCAGGAAAATGATGCTTCAGTCCCACCTGTCCCAGGACTTCTGAGTGGAACTCTAGGCCTGTTGATGACGAGGAGCTACCCTCCCGCGCACTCCTCCATGCCTGCGCGCCCTCCTGCTGTGCGCACCGTGCTCCCCACTCCCGCTCTCGCTCAGCCCTCAAGCTGCAGCTCAGGGGCCACCGCCCGGGAGCCTTTCTGACCCCGCCACTCCTGACCCCAGCCTGGATGGGTGTGCCCCTCCTCTGGACCCCTTCCCTGTGCCCTGGGCATCCTGCCCCCGGAACTCTCAGCACCGTGGGGTTAGTGTTCTTTCTGCCTATATTCCTCTCGCACTCAACCGTGAGCTCCCTAGTTAAGGCCACGGCTGTGCCTCCTGCCTCTACACTCTTATCTCACGGATTGTGGACGAAAATATTTCTGCACAACGAAGGTGAGGACATGACGTGGAACCCAAGCCCCCTGGTCACTGCTCCCCCCCCAGGCTCCCACAGCATCCGTGCTGCCTGCGCTAGACTGCGAGGCCCTCGGGCACGACTGCCTGGTGCAAAGTAATTGCCTGATGACACTGCTGAATCTTTGTCACGAAGGCAGTGTGGGACTGCCACCTTCGCAGTGGTGGGGTGGGCAGCTCTTTGCATACCCAGGCCTGGAAGAGTGAAGCATGTTTCAAGGTCAAGTGATGCACTTGGGAATAAGAAATAAACTATCCCTGGGGAAAGAAAATAAAGGTGAAGACTTAGAATATAGTCAGTCGGCATCTAGCGTTTGACAGGCAGAAAAAAGAATGCTCCCCCAAAGATACATTCACTCCCTAATCCCTGGAACCTGTAAATATCATCTTATATGGCAAAAGGTGTGCTTAAGTTAAGAATCTTGAGAGAAAACCCTTCTCTTGGGTTAGCGGGGTGGGCCCTAAATGCAATCATATGTATCCTTATAAGAGACAGGTAGAAGGAAATCAGACAAAGACACTTGCAGAGGAGGAGACGGAGGCAGAGCCTGAATGATGCAGCCACAGCCACGGACACGGGCAGAAGCTGGAAGACGCCGGGATCAGATTCCTCCCTGGAGCAGGGCGCGGGCTCTGCCAGCGCCTTGATCTCAGGCTCCTGACGGCCAGAACCATAAGAGAATACACTTCCACTGTGGCAAGCCACCAAGTTGGCGGTAATAGGATGGCAGCCATAAGAAACTGATATATGAGAGAAGCCAAAGGGAAGAGAATTTAAATTTGTGGGGTGTCCACTGTGTGCCAGGCATTGTGACAGGTGCTCTCTGGGCACTCAGTCGCTCTGTACCACACAGGCTTGGACACTTTCTGACACATCGTGTTAAGAAAGAGGCAGAGAAGAGGCTTCATGTTTCCTGGGGAGAGCTCCTTCTATCACCCTGGTATCTGGGCTGATCCCATCATTCCACTGAGCCCAATTCCTCATGTGTAAATAAGGAATCAGACTAGACAGCCTCTTTTCAGCCCTGACTTTCTTTGAAGTGAAATTTTATGGGCTAAATCTAAAATGATGTGTAAGGCTCCCCAATATGTAGAACTACAAATATTCTTGTTTAGAAAAAACTCTCTGAGACCCAGAGTTAAAGCCAAGCTGGGCAGACTCCCAGAAGGCAGAAAGCAAGGTTAGCTCTTTAGTTACAAATATTGTTGAGTCTTTACCAACCAAAGAGAACTAAAACCCCAGTCCTCTGAGGATGAGTTCCAGAATACCACTAGAGTCCTGACTTCTTGTCAAAAAACACCACCTTCCTTCTCATAGCACAGATCCCATTCTTAGTTTATAAGCCTTAAAGCCTGGAATAAGAAAGAAAGATATTTTAGGACTGGGATTTCTATTTCTAGCAATATGGCAAATTAGGAAAACCTGAAAACTGTGCCACTACAATGGACAAATACTCTACAGGATCCATGGCTAATCTCACACACAAAAAAAAAATGTAGAGGGAATTTCAAGATAAAAAAAGAAGGAAGAGAAAAAGGATAAGAAGACAAAATTGTACACGGCAAGTGTGATGATGTTCTGGTTACAGAGGACTAGAGTGAGGGTGGCAATCTTGCCAACCAAGGGGTTTGGGATTAACAGCTCCATGGAGATGGAAATGAGTCTCGGATCTGCATGTTGTGGGGAGGTGGGCCTGAGCCCCCACTGTGAAGCTGGGACCCTTGGAGGACTACGACACCCTCCATGAGAAAGCTGACAAGAAAAAAATCCACTCTGAGAAAAAAGGAAACAAAAGAAGTTTGTTACCTTGGTCTGGGCTCTGGATAGGAGTGGAAAAAAAGTCTTCCCTGAAAATTTGTAGTTATGGGAAAGCCCTCATACAGATTCGAATTCCAGTTTAGACTTCCAGTAAGATATAAGTCCATATTGAAAAATTAACATAAAACCCTTCAAAGATGAGCTCACAATCTAAAATATGGAACATAGTAACCAATTCACTACAAGCAAGAGTCACCAGACATAAAAATCAATAGCAGGATGAGAACTATAAAAACTTCAGATAACAAAAGTTTTATACAGAGGTTATAAAACAAATATATTTAAAATTATTGTTATAAAGAAGAAATTGAAACTTAATAAAAGAATAAGACAATAAGAAAAATAATAGAATAGAAAAAGAGCCAGATTTAGCTTCTAAAATTACATATGTAGTCAATGAAATAAGAATTCTCAGTTGACAGGTTAGATACCATCTGCAGATTAGACTGAGTTGAGAATTAGTGAACTAGAAGATAGATCCCAGCAGTGATATGCTGATAAGTCAGCTCTACAGGAAAAAACAAATTTTGGGCAATTTTCCTACCATGAGCAATTTCAAGCCACCAACATGACATTGCTAAATGTGGCTGGGAAGAGATGCACACAACTGGTTCTCAGCAACCAGCATGAGCACACCGCTTGCTCTAAGCAAATCACCCAGAAAGCAACACAGTGGCATAAAAAGACACAAAAATGGAAGTAAGGTAAACAGAAAAAAAAAGAGAGAGAGAGAGAGATGAAATAAAAATATCCAACATAAATCGAATAGTTCCCAAAGGAGAAAAACAAAAACTGAAATTTTTCTAAATCTGATGAAGGATAGGAATCTTCAGATTACAGAATCACAATAAGTCCCAAGGTAGACAGTAAAAACAAAACTCACACCTATGACCAGGAGCAGTGGCTCAAGCTTGTAATCCTAATACTCTGGGAGGCCGAGGCAGGAGGATCACTCAAGGTCAAGAATTCAAAACCTGCCTGAGGAAGCACAAGACCCCGTCTCTACTAAAAATAGAAAGAAATTAATTGGACAACTAAAAATATATAGAAAAAAAATTAGCCGGGCATGGTGGCACATGCCTGTAGTCCCAGCTACTCGGGAGGCTGAGGCAGGAGGATTGCTTGAGCCCAGGAGTTTGAGGTTGCTGTGAGCTAGGCTGACGCCACGGCACTCACTCTAGCCTGGGCAACAGAGGGTGACTCTGTCTCAAAATATAAATAAATAGATAAAACTACACCTAGACACAACAGAGTGAAATTCCAAAGTACCAAAAACAAAGAGATTACTTCTACACAGAGATAAAAGATGTAATATCTTCAAAGAAACAACAATTAGACGGAGGCATACTTCTCAACAGCAACAATGAAATTCCTCAAAGTACTGTGAGGAATAACTGGGACTGTAGAGTTCTGAACCTGGCTGAAGTGTCACATGAGAATGAGGGGGTATTGTTTCCCATGCTCACTGCCAAGCCTTGAATGAAGGAACTACTAAAGGATATTTTTTTAGGAAAATAGGAATTGACCCCAAATGAAAGGAGAAATTATGAGCAAAGAATCTGCTAAACATGAAGGCATATCTAAACAAGCACTGATTGTGTAAAACTATAATAATAATGCCAAATTTAATAATAATAATGCCAACAAGGTCAGGGAAGGAGTGAGGATAATAAGGAAAGAAGTAGATAGAAAAAGTAGTAACAGTAGAAAGCACAAAATAAGGTAGTAAATATAAATCTAAATGTATTAATATGAACAATATATTTAATATAAAATGAATGAAAAGAGACAAAACTTCACAATAAGAAGACAGAAGAGATTATATTACATTAAAATAATAATAATGACATATCACTATGCATCTATCAAAATTGCTAAAATAAGAAAATAGGCTGACAATACCAGACGCTGGCAAGGATTCAGAGCAACTGGAACGCAGGCATTGCTGGTAGAAATGCAAACGGCATAGAGAGCTACCGTAGCTACTTTGGAAACAGTTTGGCAGTTTCTTATGAAGTTAAACTCCTAGATGCTTACCTGGAGAAATTTAAAACATATGTTTACACAAAAACCTATACATGAATATCCTCTCACACCTGTTATGACAGCAGCTATTAGTATTAAAAAATAAAACAGAAAATTTTTGGCAAGGTTACAGAAAAATTGGAACCCTTTGTACATTATTGGTGGGAATGTAAAATGTAAAATGAATGATACAGCTGCTATGGAAAACAACATGGTGGTTCCTCAACAAATTAAAAATAGAATTGCCTTATGATCCAGCAATTCTATCTCTAGGCGTACACTCAAAAGAATTGAAAGCAGGATCTTGAAGAGACATTTGCACATATGTTCATAACAGCAATGTTCATAACAGCAATGTTCACTACAGCTAAAATATGGAAGCAACCTCAGTGTCCTTTGATGGATAAATAGATCAGCAAAGTGTGGTGTATATATGCAACATATTATTGAGCCTTTTAAAAAGAAGGAAATTCTGACATATGTTACAATATAAATGAACATAATGTAAAGCGAAATCAACCAATCACAAAAAGACAAATATCGTGTAATTGCACTTCTATGACGTACTTAGAGTAGTCAAAGATGTAGAAACAGAAAGTAGAATGTAGTTTCCAGGGACTATGAGGAGAGGATGGGGAGTTATTGTTTACTGAGTATAGAGTTTCAGTTTTACAAGATGAAAAGTCTTCTAGAGATGGATGGTAGTGATGGTTGCACAACAACATGAATGTGCTTAATACCACTGAACTATTATAGATAAAAATGGTTAAGCTAGTAAAGTTTATGTTATGTGTTTTATAGCACAATTAAAATTGGGGGGGAGGAGGGGAAAATCTATACATGAATGTTTACAGTGGGTTTATTCATAATTTCCCCAAACTGGAAACAACAAAGTTTCCTTCAGCTGGTGAATGGTTAACAAATTGTGGCACTACTCCTTGGCAATAAACAGGCACAAATTATTGATACATGCAACGACATGGATGAATCTCTAATGTGTTATGTTAAATGAAAGAAGCTAGACTTAGAAGACTCTACTATATGATTATATTTATATGAGTTTTGGAAAAATCAAAACTATAGAAACAGACAAAAAAAAAATCACTGGCTACCAGGAGCTGGAAATTAAGGGAGAGTTTGACTACAAAGGAGCATGAGGAATTTGGGGGGTGTTGAAACTGTTCTATAGTTTGATTGTGGTGGCTATATGACACTATACTTTTGTGAAAACTCATAGAACTGTACATGAAAGTATGAATTTTACTGTATATAAGTTATACCTCAATAAATATGACTTTTAAAAGAACGATAATAAAATCCAGCTATCTGCTCCTTTCCTGAGACACACCTAAAAATCACTCAGAAAGGTTGATAGAATGAAAAAGATATATCAAGCAAATACTAACCAAAAGAAAGGTAGAGCACCAATATTAATATCAGACAGATTTTAAGGTTAAAGGTATTGTTAAAAATGATGAGAGTCATTACATAAAAGAAAAAATTCACTAGAAAAAATTCAACACTTCTAAAAACTAATAACAAAAAATCTCAAAATATACAAAGCAAAACTTGACAGAATTACATGAAGAAAATGACAAATTCACCACCATTATAGAAAAATTTAACATAGCTGTGTTAGTAGGAGGTAGATGAAGCAGACAAAAAGTAGTAAACATATAGAATATTTGAATAACACAATTAACAAACTTAATTCAACAAGTATATATAGAATCCTGGGCCAGTCAGAAAATATATTCTTTTTGAACATACATAGAACAATTGCAAAAAAAAAAAAAAAAATTATGTACTAGGCCACAAACAAGTCTTCAAAAATTTTTAACTTAATCTAGAAATAAATTTAGTTACAAAGAGGTAACTTTAAAATCAAACAACCCAGCCAGGAGCAGTGGCTCATGCCTGTAATCCTAGCGCTGTGGGAGGCCGAGGCAGGAGGATCGACAACCACCAAGGTCCATCAGAGAATTCCAAACACCACGCCTGAGCAAGAAGCAAGACTCGTCTACATATAAATACAGAAAGAAATTAATTGGCTAACTAAAATATATAGAAAAAATTAGCCGGGCATGGTGGCGCATGCCTGTAGTCCCAGTCTATCGGAGGCTGAGGCAGGAGCATTGCTTGAGCCCAGGAGTTTGAGGCTGGCGAGCTAGGCTGATCCACGGCACTCTAGCCAGGGCAAAGAGTGAGACTCTGTCTCAAAAAAAAAAAAAAAAAAAAAATCAAACACCCTATCAAAAGTGGCAAAGGACATGAACAGAAACTTTCCAAAAGAAGACAGAATAATGGCCAACAAACATATGAAAAAATGTTCAACATCTCTAATCATCAGGAAATGCAATCAAACCACAAGGAATATCATTTATCTCCAGTGAGAATGGCCTTTATCAAAAAGCCCCAAACAATAAATGTTGGTGTGGATGTGGAGAGATAGGAACACTCCTATACTGCTGGTGGGACTGCAAACTAGTACAACCTCTATGAAAAGCAATATGGAGATACCTCAAAGAGATACAAGTAGAACTACCATTTGATCCAGCAATCCCATTACTGGGCATCTACCCAAAAGAACAAAAGACATTTTATATCAAAGACATCTGTACTTGAATGTTTATAGCAGCACAATTCACAATTGCAAAGATGTGGAAACAACCCAGGTGCCCATCAATCCATGAATGGATTAATAAAATGTGGTATATGTATACCATGGAGTTCTACTCAGCCACAAAAAAAACAATGGTGATATAACACCTCTCGTATTTTCCTGGATAGAGCTTGAACCCATTCTACTAAATGAAGTATCCCAAGAATGGAAAAGCAAGCACCACATGTACTCACCATCAAATTGGTATTAACTGATCAACACTTAAGTGCACATATAGTAATAACATTCATTGGGTGTCGGGTAGATGGGAGAAGGGAGGAGGGGATGGGTATATACACACTTCATGGGTACAGTGCGCACCGTCTAGGGGATGGATACGCTTGAAGCCCTGACTCGTGTGGGGCAAGGACAATATACATAACCTAAACATTTGTACCCTAATCATATGCTGAAATTAAAAAACTTTTTTTAAAATTCTAAATATTTATAAATTTTAAACACACTATACGTTATAAAAGAACTCAAAATCGAAATTAGAAAATTCATAGAACTAAATGAAAATATGTTACGTATCAAAATTGGTATGGTGCTGCTAACGGGCATTTAGAGGAAAATTTATAGCCCTAAGTGTACATATTAGACAATAAAAATATTTGAGAAATCAGTACTGGAGAAGACAAAAACAAATGATCTTACTATGTTTCAATATGGTACAGTACAATGAAAGGAACAATCAACTGTTTCTCTGTACCTCTTAATTAGAGGGTAGTTAGTTGGAACATAATGAAGAAAGATAACATATATACAAATATTCAACTTTTGCAAGGGAACATCACTAACTGAATGTTTATGTAATTGAAATACTTAAATACTAGTAGTATATACTACTAGTATTTAAGTATTTAAATACTACTATTTAAAAAAGTAGTACTAGTTAAATAGTAACTAGAAAAGGTTAAATACTAGTAGTGTTTTTCACATTATCCACATTACCTTCTATTGCTTGTTGAACATGCACAAGTACACACACATAAACTGGCCTTTTTGGACAGTGTGGAGGACCCTCTTTGTAGATTTTATCCACTCCACTGGAGTGGGCTCAGGAGGGTGTACTCAAACCATGCAGCGTTTGCCAGCCATCTACCATGTGTAAGTTGCTATGGAGAATTCAAAGTTGAACGAAGTCAGGTTTGAGGAGCTCTAAGATCTGGTTTGACTGGAGGTCAGGCATGGAGGGGGAATGCTAAGACTGGCAAGATAAATTGAAGTGCAGTCACGGTGATTCTTTAATGCCAGGGGAGGTGTGTTAGGAAAGGTTTGTGAGCAGGGAAATAAAACGCATGACCACCTTTTAGGGAAGTGGTATCCTGCAAAATCCTACCTTCTTGGGTCCTAAAGTCATCTTCAGCAAAGATGTTAAAGTTGCCGCACAGCCCACAGGTCTTGTTGAAGTGTCTATGCGACAGCAGGACTTGAAAGTTGCCGCTGCCATCGATCCTGGCCACAAAGCCATGGGCCTCGCTGGACAGCTTGTAGTAGCCGGCCTCCGTTTCCAGATACAGCCCTTTGGAGGCATAGGGCATGGAGATGCTGGAGGGCAAAGGGCAGGTTCGGAAGCGGGCTTCCCATGCACGTTCGGACGTCCTCCCACCTTCCAACCCAGCCCCATGTCACAAGGCCGAGGCCATGGTGCAAAGCAGCGGAGGGCCCGGCCCGGCTGTCAGGAGGCCTGGCTCTCACCCAGCCCTGGTGCTCACTTCCTCTGGGCACACTTACTTCCTCTCTGAACCCCAGCTTCTCCATCTAAAGAATGAGGGGGTTGCAAAGGGATCCCCAGGGTCCTTTCTGACTTGGGCATTCGGGGCTCCTGACTTACCTTTGGTCCCCCTGCAGCACCGTACCATTGACAAACAAATGGATGTCAAAAAACTCCCCAAGATACACAGAGAGGCCCACTCTCTTGCCGTTTAGGAAGTCCCCTGAAAGAGAAAAGAGTCTGTAGTAGCGATTATTACCCTCAAAAAAGTTAATAATCATTATCTTTACAGTCTTATCTCAGTGGAAAACTCCCCAAAAAGACTTAACAAAGAGACAAGAAAAATCTCCCTAAAAATCTCATTGGCTCACTCATTTTTCCATTCGCCTAAAAATATTTATTGAGTGGCTTCTCTTCTGTTTCACAAAAGAAAAATGTAAAAGCATGATCTCTTGCTTCTTTACAATCTTACAGTGTCCGTACAAAGACAAGACAAGCAGGCAGCATTTGAACGTGCTGCGGGACAGCGAGCGAAGCAGCACCGTTGAGCTGTGGCCCCCAGGACAGTGGGATTTAGAGCAGCATCTGCAGACTGCCCGCGCCAGAACACCTGCGCTATTTGTTTAAGATGAGCGTCCATGAATGTCCCCTCACTTTACCGAATTTGATTCTCTGGGAGTTTAGCGACAGAAGTCAAGTGTCTCACACAGCACTTGGAACTTAATGAGGACACAATGAATGGTATTGCCACCGGAGATGTTTGAATGGTCAAACGCAAGATAAAGTCGCCTCTGACAGCTGCGTGATTGTGAGGGGTGAACAGGTAGGTGAGGCTGATGGCAGTGGCATGAAAGAGGAAACACGGGCAGGAAGCAATTCCCACAGCATTTTTTTTTTTTTTTTGAGACAGAGTCTCACTTTGTTGCCCAGGCTAGAGTGAGTGCCGTGGCGTCAGCCTAGCTCACAGCAACCTCAAACTCCTGGGCTCAAGCAATCCTCCTGCCTCAGCCTCCTAAGTAGCTGGGACCACAGGCATGTGCCACCATGCCCGGCTAATTTTTTCTATATATATTAGTTGGCCAATTAATTTCTTTCTATTTATAGTAGAGACAGGGTCTCGTTCTTGCTCAGGCTGGTTTCGAACTCCTGACCTCGAGCAATCTGCCCACCTCGGCCTCCCAGAGCGCTAGTCCACAGCATTATTGAAGTTTCCTGAGCCACAGCCAGCCTCTGACGATGGCTGCTTGTGCTGGTTCTTGGTATTCAAAGATAACTGATCAGCTATAGAAGACGAGGGAACCAGAAGGGGCCATATAGAGTCCGGTCTTGAGCCTTGGAGCCAGAGAAACTGATGGACACAGGGAAGATAGAGAGCTCACATTTGGGCACAGGGCCTTGGGGGCCTAAAGGGCAGGGCGTAGGACCCGGGTGGCAAGGTCAGCCTTGACAATGAGCAGATACGTCCTCTCCTAAGAGGGGTGAGAGAGTGTGGGCTCCAGGTCCTCCGCAAAAGAGGAGGCAAAGATGTCTGTGGAACCGGAAACCTTGGCAAGCTCTGTCGACCCGAGGTGTCGCTGCGTGGCCAGGCCGCTGATGCAGGGCGGGAAGGAAGGGGCCTCCTCGCTCCCAGCTGGGAGAGGAGGAGCCCCCAGCAGGGGTCCGGGCCAGACCAAGGCTGCAGGAGGACCGTGACCACCTGGTACGCACACACACACACACACACACACACATACACAAACCAGAATGAGCCAGAAAGTAGACTTGTTCCTGGTGAGACTTCAGTGAGGGCTGCCCCAGCAAATAAACAAGTCCCTTCTGAGAATAGTCTTAAATGATATGCCATTAGCAGGTCAGTGCCACCAGCAAGAGCCCGCAGACCACCCACAGTCCACAGAGCGCATTCTGCAGCCCCAGACCAACCCCGCTGGGAGAAAAAGGAGGCGCCCACCCCCAAAGTTAAAGGAGTTCTGTCCTGTTTGAGCCAAGAGGCTTTGCCCATTATGCATTTGCACTTGAACAGTTTTTGCAGCAAGCAAAACTTTAGAAGTCACACAAACTTTCTGATGGCAGGAAATTAACCAAAGAAAAACAAACAGAACGAAAGAACAAAGAGAGTAAACAGAGTAATTATTTTTCATTTTAATTTATCAGTAATGGTAGACTCTGAGTGATGGGTATTATGGATGTCATATTCTTTCAACTTTTCTGTGTTTGAAAATTTCCATAATAAAAAGTTGGAAAAGCAAACAAATAGGGCAGCCTGGCAATAACCTCTGATTTGCAGTCCCTCCCAGGGGCCTTCCGGGACCCCGAGTCATCTGCAGTGGCCCAAGACCAAGTCCCTCCCTCGGCCTTGGCCTCGTTTGGGGCTGACACTCAGAACACTGCACAGCAGCCACCGTGGAGCCCACGTGGCAGGGCCCCTCCCACACCTCCTCACTGAGACCTGCGAGCAGAAGGCCGTCTGCTGGCGAGTGGGCGAATAAGCCCATGAGGCCTGGGGCTCTGTGTCCCTTGTGACCGCTGAGACTCTCTCGCGGTCAGTGGAATCTCCCCCCCACCCCACCCCTGCCACACAGGGCAGAGAGACAGGGAGTTCTGCCCCTGCTTCATGGGTCCCTTGGCCTGCAGGTCACCACTGAGCCCAAGGTGCCTCCCTCCTAGAAACGAGGAAGGTCCCATGCACCTCTCCCTGCAGACTCCCCTCACGGGGGTTCAGAAAGGGCGGGCGGGGACACGCTGCCCTGGGAGGCTGGGGCTGGAGGAGGGCAGGGAACACTTCCGAGGCAACCAGCCCGGGGTGCAGCAGGGCCCCACCGCTGCTGATCCGATCCATATCTCTTCCAGGCTTTGAAAGATACAAGATCACCTAAGCAAGGCGCTCATTCCACAGGAGGCAGGGCTGAGCCTGTGCCGCAGGAAAGCCTGGAGGTCACTGTCGCTGTGCGATTGAAAAGTAGGGCCTGCGAGGCTGAACAAGCCCAGAATTCTGCAGGAGCAGACAGTCGAATGAGACTCAGGAGAAACATGTGGGAGGGTGTGGGAGCCCCGGCCCTTCTCAGGTCACTGGCGGAGCAAGCCTGCCCGCACCGGCTGCCAAGCTGGGATAACGCACCCAGGACCACAGGGCCAGTAAGTGACGGCAGAGCTGGGACTCCGGCCGGGGGCCGTTGTAGGTATTGGAAGGGTTTGCGCCACGAGCAGAGCTGAGCACTGAGGGAGCCCCGTGGGCAAGGACAGGTGGGGCTGGCCGCCCCAGGACCTTCTCCTGGTGCAGGAATTTTACAGGACAATAAAAGGATTTGTTCTATAAAGTTCGGACTCAGTCAAAAGGCCGCATTTAAGGACCTAGAAGGCCACATGTGGGCTTAAGGCCACAGGTTCCCCACCCCTGGCCCCCACACACCACCCAGAGACAAACCCAAAACAGTCTAGGGCGGGTGGGGCTGGCGTCCAGGCCTTCAGTGAGGACCACACTTCTTGGAGCCCGTGCACTCCGGCTCTGGACGGCCCAGGGGCTTTTGATGAGCAGTCAGCCCACACCTGAGCAAGAGCCTGGCAGGGATTTTTGAGAGTGTGACCTGGAGGAGCCTACAATTCAGAGAAACATACTGTGGCAGAGGACGGATCTTAGAGATCATCTAAACAAGCAGTTCTTAAACTCTGTTGCCCGGAAAGCATAGTAAGAACAATTCACTTTGTGACTCACGACACACACACACACAGTTACCCTCACCGTGTATCACAGGCTCTGATATTTTCTGACATTTTCTACTCTGTTTAATCTTTTTAAATGCTAGTTACAAACACTAAATTAATTTTAGGGCCCATAGCTCATGACTCAGCCTGTAAAACACTGATCCAGACTGACTCCAACTCACAGATGGAGAGATGGAGAGATGGAGGCCTAAGTTCGCCACAGGACTTCTCCCCTCCCACCACGGAATTCGGGCCAGGTAGTCCTCTGTGGCGGGGACCATCCTGTGCATGGCGGGACAGTTAGCAGCGTCCTGGCCTCTACCCACTAGATGCCAGTAGCACCCACCCACCCCAGTCGTGACAACTGAAAATGTCTCCAGAAGCTGCCAGATGGTCGTCTAGGGGAAAATCCCCCGACTGAGAATTGGTTTACACTGTTAACGTGGAGCACAAACCCAGGTTTTCTGACTCCAAGTCCAAATCGCCGTGTGCAGCACAAAGCTGCCTCACAGGGCGTCCTCGCTCGGGATTCGGCTAACCACCACCACGGGGGAGAACCCCGAATCGGCTTTGCTCCCTCACTGCAGAAGCCAGGGCATCCACGGCGTGCGGCCGTTAGGAAAATGAGCCACGGAAATGGCCACAGCCCGCAGACCTCCAGGCTAGCTCTCCCTGTGACTGCCAGGAAGAGGGCCTGGGTGTCACCCCAAGAGACAAGACAAACCAGCGAAGCTCTCCCCAGGCTCCCGCCGGGCTGTGGGACTCAGCAACCGAGGCGGTGAGCGAGGGACTGAGCCGCTGCCCCACACGTTGGGCCAGGGCACCCGGGGACCCTGGAAGCTGTGGGTAGCTGGAGCCAGAATCAGACACGGGCGGGCACAGCCTCCGGCTTGGTGTGGGGCTCACTCATCTGCACTTGCAAGGAAGCGACTTTGATGCTGGTGACCCTCGGTCCAAACTCTGAGGAGCAGGGATCTGGTCTGAGCGGCCTTCACTGGCTCAGAAACAAAGGCTCCGCTGGGGCAGTGACTCAGCAGATTGTGGGTTGTCTGTGGTTCTCACTCGGCTGGTTTGGGGGCGAGACCTGCATCCCTGGCTTAGGGAGTGCAGTCTCTGCTAAGAGGGAGCACCCAGGACTCCCGCGGTCTCCCGCTGGCCCGCGCTGGCAGCGAGCTTGGCCTGGGAGCCTGGAGCCCACCCGCCAAGAGCCAGGGTCAAGGGAAAGGGCCTCCCCTGGCACCAGGTGGTCCTTCATGTGCGGACATAAACACTTTGCCCAGGATGTGAACACCGTCCACAGGCACTCGAGAGGAATGTGGGTTTGTCATTTAGGATCAAGGAAACAGGATGTCATTGGAGAACAATGGAACAGAGGGTGCCGTCGGCACGCACGCTGAAGCATGGGTCTGGGTTCTGCTCCCTTCCCTGAGCCCGGTGCCCCTGCTCCCTTGAAGCCCCAGTGCCAGCCCACCACCCTCAAATTAGTCCTCCCCTCCCGCACACCCGCCACCACCAGTGACAACGGGAAAAGTAGCCACCCATTCTCTATGGTTTAGCAGCGTGGTTTTCAGTGGAAATGAATTCAATCTAGTAAATCAATTAAAGTATGTTTGAACCATAGCCTGAACCGGCCAACAACCTCCCAGAAAATTGGACACTTAAGAAGTGCAAATTATTTATAAGAAAAAAATAATGACCCAGCAGGAAATCGAGTCGCAGTGTTGTGAAGTAGAGAGTCCTTCCACAGCCCTTCGAATTCCCCCTGGGCCACCGAAACCCCCTCGTCTCTGCGAAGTGCACGTCCAACAAACAGGCGGCACCCTGTGCTATTTGGCTGCTTTCAGTAACTCAGGTTTGGTAACAGGATGCTTTCAAATGACTTGTCTCAGTTGGTCCTCACCATTTGAAATGGTGTCTCCTTTGTCAAGATGACAACACGGAGGCTGAGACTGCGCAACTGCCCCGAGGACGCCCAGTGGGGAGGGGCAGTGCAGGCCAGTCACAGGTTTCCCCTCCAGGCTGCTGTTTTCCCCCTGCAGGCAGAGCCACCAAGGCCTGCGGGAAGGAAGCCAACCGGTGAGCACAGCTTGATGCGCCCAGTGCTGGACAGGAATGGCCGAGGGCTTCCTGGAGGAGGCGACAGTGACAGCCAAGAGGCACCAGCATAGGCTGCACTTCCCTGGCTGTGAGGGTCACCCAGAAGCAGGGAGGGGTCTGGAATTGGGCTTCAGTAGGGGGAAGGGGGCTTTTGCAACACGCTGGCATGGCTCCCTGCACCCAGAATGAGAACTCTGCCTGGGCCTAAGACACCGCCCTGCATTCTTTACAAACCCATCTCGGGGCAAGGAGTCCACAGCAGCACGCACTAAAGCAGACCATGGAGTCGGGACAGCAGCCCCCTCCAGGGCTCCACAGTGCCACCACGGGGTCCCCCTCCCTGGAACCGCCACTGAGGCCCAAAGCCATAGAGTGCAGAGGGTGTCACTATTTCTTCTTTCAGAATCTTCCTCCCATCACGTCTACCCCTCCAGCCCAGAGCCACCCCAGAGCCATCTCAGGCATCTGTATCATCCACTGTGAGTGTTCAGATGGAGAACTTAACTTAAAATAAACACTGGGGCCACCTGCGGGAGGAAGGCATGGCTCCTCAGCTTCCTGGGGAGAAGCAGGGTTCTCCCCAGCTGCAAGGTGGGACCCCCACAGACGCCCTGGGATGTCACTGGCCCTTCTCGCCTCCTGCCTGGTTACTACGGCCAAGGCCACCATGCCTCCACTCTCTCCTTCTTAGGACCACCTCAGCGAAGCACCAGCTCCCTCTCGGCCCTTCCCGCTGCACAGGCCCACACGAGCTCCTCGCAGCCTGCGGGACTGGACAGCCTCTGTCAGACCCTGCAGCCCCGCGCACCGCCTCCCAGGTGGCCCAGACTTTCCTCGTCCACACTCCGGTCCTGGGCGTCTCAAACTTTGGTCTCCAGTCTAAGAGCAGCAGCAGCTGGGGAATTATTAGAAATGAACCTTCTGGGCCGCCTTCCAGGTCTACTGAGTCAGAACCCTGGGGTGGGGCCCCGCCATCTCTCTGTAACAGCCCTGCAGGTGGCCCTGGTCTGCACTGTGCTGGGCTTTGGGGACGGCTGCTCCAGCCACTGCTCCAGCCACACGGACCTCCTACTTGCCCCTGCCAGGAGCACCCACGCCTCCCAGCCCCTCCCCTCCTCGTGCCGTCCACACTGCGCAGAGCACCCTGCCCTGTGCTCTCTGCCCACCACAGCCCGCTCACCCGGGGCCCCTTCAGTACACGAGAGACACCGCTGTGCTTTGGGGTCCCCATCCCATTCAGTGTGACAAAGACCCCGGGGAGCCAAGGGCCAGGAAACCGAGACCAGCCAGACATAGCCCTGACCTTGAGAAGCTCACAGAGGAGGGGGAGAATGGCGGCGCCCGGAAGTCACCCTGTGAGAGGTTTTCCGCCAGCGTGCAGGCAGGGCAGACACCAGGGGTAGAGGCCAAGGGGCGGGGCTAGCTGTGGCCAACCGCCAGCTCTCGGGCGCTGGGCACACAGGGCACACTGCGTCCGCCCTGTCGGCTGATGGAGCAGCAAGCACGGAGCCGCGCAGCCTGCACCTCTGCAAGTGTCTGCGTGTGGCCCAGGACGCCCTGCTTGGCCCAACTTGAGCCAGGTCCTCTGAGCCCTCTCCTAGACTATGAATGGGCCTTGGCTCCGGCCTTGGCCTATTTAGTTTGGTTTTAGCAAGAATCCCCCTGGCTCAGTTTAGCAGAGACCACCCACCCTCAACGTCTGCCCACCCTGGCCTGCCTGCAGCGAGAATCCCTTCAGGGTGGCTTAACCAGAATGCCCTGACCCCTGATGTTGCCTCTTAGTCATTCCCACCACTGACCCCCCACCCCCCCGGTTCTTGGCTCCAAATCCCCACTTTTCCTTGTTGTACTCGGAGTTGAGCCCTATTTCTCTTCCCTTACCACAACCCCCTTTGCAGCGGTCCCTCTTGAATAAAGTCATCCTTACAGCTTTTAACAAGTGTCGCGAAAGTATCTTTAACAGTGGGAGTCTGCTCGTTGCTGTCTCTGCTCCCCCAGGCTGAGACTGCCCCCTCGGCTGGGTTCCGTAGCACCCCCACATCACACACATCTGTGCGATTCTTGGTGTGCAGAGGTCACCAAACCGTAATTCTCCATCACTGCCTCCAGCCCTGCTCCCAACCTTGGCAAGCGGCCTCTGTCCTTTGCGAGAGGCTGGGATCAAACCCAGCGCCTCCCTTCACCATCCGTCAGGCCGTGGAAGGATTATCCAACCTCCCTGGGCCTGGCTCTTCATCTGTAGAAGACCACAGCCCCATCCCAGAGCTGTTGTGACGATGCAGAGACAACACAGGGACAGTGCCAGCACTTTCGCAGGACACAAGAGGTGCCTGGCACAAGCAAGACATTCTGAATTCCCAAGGCCACCAAGAACACAACGGCGAGTCTTCCCTTTGGCAAGAAGCTTTACGTGTTCTACGGCACCTTGTAGCTCATCATTTCCCTCGATGCTGGCAGCTGCCGGAGCATTGCGTGGAGCCAGAGCAATGCTACGGCCAGCGGGGCAGCTCGGAGACGCGCCCCGCCCCAGCAGGCTCCCACGGGGAGAGGCCCGGGAGATGCCAAGAGAAGCCATGTGCCATGGCAAGGCCATTCCCCCACTCTCCTGGCAGCAATCTTCCAGCTCGGGCACTGTCCCGGGAGTAGGAGTCCTCCCCCCACGCCCAGCTGAGCTCAGCGGCCCCCCGACTGATGCCTCCCTGCAGTGCCTGGGACTCACCAAGGAGTGAGAAGGAGTGTCCCTCGCAGTCCCCTGCCAGGAAGTAACTGCAGTGTCCCGCAAAGCTGTACATGCTCCCGTCAAAGGTGCTGACGAAGTCATCTCCAAAGAGGCTGCACCGGGCCATCGACGACTTGCCGCGAGTCCCTTCCGCACAAAGGGTCCCTAGAGGACAGGCCATGGGTGAGCACAGCCGAGACCACCGGCCCAAACCTCTCCGGCCTCACAGAAACACGTCTGCCTCTACGGCAGTCGGCTGTGGGAAGGTACTTCACATCCTAAACAAGACCAACGCTGTTGCTTTCAGCCCCCAAATAGGACCCAGGACTCACAGCAATAACGAAAGAACAGTTTCTCAGGAAATCTACTAGTTTTAATGACATTTACTTACTGATTTAAAATGTAATCATGCTCATAAAAAACTTAGAGGATACAGAAAAAAACACACAAAAAAAGTTAAAATCATCTGTAACGCGTCACCGCGTGATAACTACAGTTAATATTTCAGTGTTTTACAGCATATGTACGGTTGTGGATTTTTCACAAATTCATGACCATCCTGTGTAAACTATTTATAACTGTTGTTTTTTTCTTAGTATGTTGAAGAATTTGTCATGCCGTTGTATACACTTACAATACATGATTTTTAGTCACTGCATTATATTTTGCATCTAAATGTATGTAGTATAGCCCCCTATTGTTATTTCCAAGTTTTCATTTATTTATTTGTTTATTTACGTATTTATTTATTGAGACATGGTCTCACTCGGTTGCCAGGTCTAGAGTGCAGTGGCACCATCATAGCTCCCTCTAGCCTCGAACTCCTGGCCTCAAACAATCCTCCTGCCTCAGCCTCCCAAATAGCTAGGACTATAGTCGTGCACTACTATGCCTGGCTAACTTTTTAAAAAATTTGTTAGAGAGAAGGGGTCTCAATAGGTTGTCCAGGCTGATTTCAAACTTCTGGCCTCAAGCAATCCTGCTACCTTGGCCTTTCAAGGTGCTGGGACTACAGGCATAAACCACCACACCTGGCCCAAATTTCTTAATATTATAAATAGATTGCAATGAGCATCTTTGTATGTAAATCTACTAGTATATTTCGAGAAGATTAAATTGTAAACAGATCAGACTGTGTGCCTGCCATATAGAATCCATGAAGGGTTGACTCTTCCAGGGTCATGTGCTAACTCCCTCTCTAACTGTGTGTGTGTGTGTGTGTGTGTGTGTGTGTGTGTGTTGTCAGGTGGGGAACCACAGCAGTAGATCTCTGAGTGTTCTGGGTTCCCTGGCACAAGACCCACCTGGTAGGAAGATCCAAAGAGTGACAAATGTATATTTCTTCCCAGACCAGACTAGCCTGTGGACAGCAGGCTGAATGCTGCTGATCTGATAGGTCTAAAAGGAGACAGCTCAAAGTCAAAAAGCCCCTTCTGCTCCTCACAGACTCAGACTCTCAGTGAGGGAAGGAAGGCAGTGCAGTGCAGTGGAAAGAGTGCCAGCCCGGGACTAGGAGAACTGAGCTCCGATCTTGGCTCTGTGAGAATTTGGAGCCGTCATGTCTCCTCCTTGACGCTCAGTCTCTTCATTTGTACCAAGGGAGGTTCAGCTAGCTGACTTCTACAATCACTCCTAAAACTAATAATCTATCCAAGTCTTGGATTCCCTCTTCCCCACCTGTGTCCCCATCATATAGGACAATTCTTTGCCACCTTCGCGCTTCTTAATTTCCCAGTAGAGGAAGGCTTTTGCAGGAGCCTGCTCCTGGGGCCACAGTCAGGGGCGGGGGCTCTGCAGAACCTTCACAGGAGGCAGCCAGCACGAGCCCAGCATGGGGCTGGGCACACAGGTGCCTCCAGACACAGCCTCTCATCCTGGAAGGGGGTTACTCCCAATGGCCCCGGGGCAGGAGTAAGGAATGGAAGCCCTTTGGTACCTACCTGGCAAAGTGAGCGCCAGAGCAAGCAGCACCCTCGCAAGCCTGGCGGGAACCATCTGCAGAGAAGCAAGGGAGGTGATGGTTACCACCACGCGGGGAGATGCTGCTGGTACGCACTGCTGCCAGTGCATGAAGTGGAGGAAGCAGGAGAAAAGATGGGTCTTCATTGACCCCCTTTTGAACATGGGCTTCTAGCCATCCCCTCCAAAAAAAGCTGTGGCTGGTGCCAGGCCAAGAATAACACCGGCTGTGAGCCGGGAGCCCGGGGCATCCTTCCCCGGAGCACAGCCCCAGGCCCGGACAGAGGAGGAAACCGCTGCCTTCGGCTGCTGCTCCTCTCTCACGCCCCTGCCCTCCCGCAGCGGCCATTCCTTCCTGCCTCCGCATCCCTCCACGCTTGGCAGCGACCAGGTGAGTAGAAACTGTCTTTCACCTATGTTCCCGCCACGGACACCAGACTTAGAAAACGCTCAAGAACCCCCAACTGACTATTTGCTTCTTGGTCCGCTGCCCTGTACCCCGAGAGCCCAGTAAATGTTTGCTGAGTTGACCTGCTGAATGGACTGGAGTCCAGCACCCCGGGGCCCTGGCAAGTTTCCCCACTGTGCACCCACTCTCAGAAAAGAACAAATGATCCTGGCTGGCAGAGTACACCCCAAGTCCCTTAGAGCCCCTGCCACACCCCCTCTCTTCTGGAAAAGTTTTATTAAATAAAGTGCTTAATCTGTCACCTGAGATTCACTGGGGGTGACTTCTTTCCTACCTAATGCCCCATCCAGCCAAACAACGGAGAGATACACACAATCTGTTATGTATCTGTGGAAGGAACACTTCACTATGACATATGGCCAAGTCTTGGTCTCAGAGCAGGTGTCCCTCTCCCACTCCCAACACACAGGTGCAGTAGGTGCTCCCAGAAGGTTCCCAGAGGTGAGGGCGAAGCTCATTCCAACTCCTAGGCATTAAGTACCACCACGCAGCAAAACCCCCTGCATGCAGAAAAGCAGTCACAGGGCCCCCAGGTGCAAGAGGAGAAGGGAGCAGTAGGATTGCCCCTGGCTGAATAGAGTCACCCTCCAAACAAAGCCCTTCTAGTCCAGGGATGGAGAAGCCCCACTCCCTGGGGGTGGGGATCAGTCCCGCATTGTCCTCCCGCGAGGAACACCGTACCTTCCCCTGCGAATGGGGCTGCAGGTATCTCCAAAGTCCCTTAGGAGACTCAGCTGTGCGAGGCGTGGCCATGCCTAGGCCATGCTCCCAGCAGCTGCCGAGGCTGAATCAGGCCTGCTACAGCTCCGCACTGGCCTGCTGTAAGTGGCCCAGGGGCTGCAGAGTCCCCGCAGCTGGGGGAGATAAAGCCCAGGTTGTGACGTCTACCAACCCGCCCTCCCTGCCCCACCACAGTAGCTGCGAGCTGCCATTGGCCTCCCCCTAATTACCAAAGGAAACAATGAAAGGAAATGCTATTGGGAATACCTCCAAGCTGATAAGGCTTTGAAGGGTTTGGAGGGAAACCTCCTGGCAGCAGCCTTAATGAACAGCCTTGCCCTCCCCCAAACACCCCCGCTCTCCCGCACCCCCACACTTGGTCCCTTGTCCTCCCTGAGTGCCCCACACAGACAGGATGACCAGGAATGCTGGCTGTCCCAAGGTAAGCTGACCCAGGCCAGGCAAGAATCAGACTGGATCAACAGAGCTTCCTGATCCGGCTTCCAGGGCTGGACTCCAGGAACTTTGGGAAAAACACCTCAACCTGAGCCAACTTAGCTGCCACGTTTGGAGGCAAGAGAGCACTGACGCTTCCTACCCACCCTGGCTGTGAGCGATCCAGCTGTGGCCCCCGACAAAAACAATCAGTCTGGGTCCTGGCCACAGGTTAACGGACAGGTTAAAGATGAAGGCCCTAGCCACACGTGCAGGCCTTCGTAAAATGATGATGGGCAGTGGTTCGATTCCAGTACTTCTATTATTACTAGATTCTGATCATTCTAATTCTCAAACACTCTCCCACCCCATTTCTGGTACCCTAATTCCTCCCCTAACCTTACAGACACGCACGCGCACACAGGCACACACATGCACGCACGCACACATACCAATCCTTCTTCCCAGCCTCCCATTCCAAAAGCCTAATATCAACATTATCTGCTAAACTAATTCCTGCTAAAAGAGGTAGCTAAGGAAATGGGCGGGGCGGGAAAGTGGGATTCCAGGCAGGGCCACAAGCAGCCTGAGCCGTGCTGAGGTGTGGAAGCCCACTGCATGGCTTCTCCACGACACCACCCACCCTCAGACTCTGAGAAACCACGAGGTCCCAACCTCTGCCCTTCCCACACTCCTCACACCCACTCCCTGTGCCAAGGGAGAAAACTGGCAGGAGGCAGAGTTGGCACGATACAGTAGAAGAGGCACAAAGGATTCCCACTTTCGGCTCTTTCAAAAATTAAAGAACCTGAACATCTTCCCATTACAAAATATCTTGAAATGCTGTATTAAATGTAACAAATGTTCTTTAAAGGCACTGCTGAGCCTGGGACTGTCCCCAGGGGTCCACGAGCAAGAACAACCAAATGAGCACGAGGTGCTGCAGGCCCGTGGGGTCAGCCAGGCGCACCCTCCAGGCTTCAGGCTGAACGTGGCCGGGCCAGGACGCAGGCTGTGGGCCTGACCCGGGGGAGTGCCAGAACTGGGCACGCATAACGCTGGAGCCTGGAAGGGAAACATCTTCCAACCACCAACACAGAAGATAAAGAAGCTTGTCTGTCTCCAACTATTTTGGAGGGGGGGAAAGTCAGTCTTTCTTCAGAATGTGTAGCCCTGGGCCTGCACTCGTGCAAGTGTGAGGTCCGAGAACTCCCAAGCTAAGAAGCTGACGCAAGTATGAGTCTTAGTAGCTGGGGCTCCTGGCAGAAACAAGCACAAATCTGCCAAAATGGTCATATGTGTTCTTCTTCACAGGGCACATGTGAAACTCACAAGTAAAGCTTTCTTGAGGAGGAATTCAAAATTGTAAATTTTAAAACACTCAGTGTAACAATTTACCATGAGCAAGCAGTCACGACAAAGAGCAGGATTAGATCCCTAAGAACCTCAGATGATACAATGATCAGAGAGAGATGAAAAATAAATGAGGGTTGAAAACTATAATAGAGTAAAACATAGGAATTCAAAACATTTTTAAAAAGACATAATGAGAAAAGAATTGGAAAAGAACTTTTAGAAATGAAATTATTAAATTAATTGAAAAATTCAAATAAAAAACACCAGATATTTCTGAAGAAAATTTTGCTGCGAAATAAATCTGAGGAAATTACTCAAAGAAATAAAGACAAAAACATGAGAGAAGTGCTAAGAAACACGACAGAATTAGAAGATCCAGAGACAAGTGCTGGGGAAAACGTGCACCAGGGCAGAATCCCACACGCAATGTCTTCTCAGTTTGATGCCCCGAGAAGCTGGAGTGCTTTGGCGCAGATAATGTATTTGGGAGGGCAGGAAACACTGGCAGGGAAGTGGGAATGTGATATGGGGAAGAGAAACAGCCAATGAAAGATGTTTATTAAGCCAGCCACCAAATGGCAACTGAAGCTCAGTCCTGCGAGGAAAGTCTGGGCAAAGTGAATTCTCCCTCTCTGGGCCAGAGAGCAGGGCTGTTCCCACCCCTGCTCCTTCCCTCAGTTATTTCGGGCTGCTCCTGGGGGCATTAACTCCTCACCACGTCTGGCCTTTGGGCACAGAGGAGCAGACACTGGTAGTCTAGAAGAAACACGTGAGGAATTCAGGTCAGAGGCCTCTGCGATGGGGACTGTGGCATCTGGTCTACCTAGTTAAAGTATCGTTCAGAGTTAGGAGAATGTAGAGATAATTTTTTCCTCAGAAAAACCAACAGTGGGTTTAACACTGACAGTCCTTTCTGAAAGAACTACTAAAGAAGGTGCTTCAGGAAGAAGGAAGTTAAACCCAAAAAGAAGATGCGAGAAGAAAAGGTAAACAAATAAATTGGTAAATATGGGGGGAAATATTAGCAGTCAGCAATTATATAAAACAAAAACAATAATAATCATAAATTGGAGAGTTTTAAAGAAATAAGATGGAACCAAAATAGAGACAGTAACAGCACTAAGATGGGACCAAAGGTGTAATAAGGCCATCACATTGTTCAGAAGAAAGAAAGAGGTAATCATGACTTTAGACTTGCTAAGGCTAATCTGCATAGTGAAATTTTAAGGAGGGCTACTAAAAGAGTAGAATTGAATGTATGTTTTCCAAACCCTTGAGAACAAAAACAGGAAATAAAGAAAACTAGACTAATCTAGGAGAAAAACAGAAAAAGCAGGACAACCAATATAAAATAAGACAGTACAAAAAAATCTAAATAGATCAATAATCAACAATAAAAAGACATATTATGAAATTGGATTTTGATAAAAAGACACACAGGCCGGGCGCGGTGGCTCACGCCTGTAATCCTAGCTCTCTGGGAGGCCGAGGCTGGCGGATTGCTCAAGGTCAGGAGTTCAAAACCAGCCTGAGCAAGAGCGAGACCCCGTCTCTACTATAAATAGAAAGAAATTAATTGGCCAACTGATATAAAAAATTAGCCGGGCATGGTGGCACATGCCTGTAGTCCCAGCTACTCGGGAGGCTGAGGCAGAAGGATCGCTTGAGCCCAGAAGTTTGAGGTTGCTGTGAGCTAGGCTGACGCCACGGCACTCACTCTAGCCTGGACAACAAAGCGAGACTCTGTCTCAAAAAAAAAAAAAAAAAAAAGACACACAATCCAGCAGTATTCAAGAGACAGGCCTAAAATATAAAGACACAAGGACTATAAGGAAAAGAAAGGAAACAGCAAACGATGGCCAAGGGAAAGCTTATCGTATCACTGTCAGACAAAACAGACTTATGATAAAAGTCGTCATTAGCAATAAAGAGGATAAAAAGTAATATGATCAATGTACTAGGAAGATATAAATTTATGTGCACTTAATAATATAAGCTTAAAATTTATAAAGAAAAAAATGATTGAATTCTAAAGCAAAGCAGAAAAGTTTTCATTTTTATAAAGGTCAACAACATGCGTTTATGGAAAACAATTAAACAAAAACACCTTAGTAACCTACATAAAGAAGGGACCGTCCTTAGCCTGCGAAACAGAGCACACTTCACACTTATGGTAAAATGCAAGCCACTGTCCCTTTAAAAACCAGAACAAGACAAGGATGCTGACATCATCACTGCTGATCAACATTGGATCAGAAGCCCAGGGCAGCACAGTAAGAGAAGAGGAAATATAAGATATATGACATAGAAAAGACAAAAGCAAAGATTATTTGTTTTTGTTTTGTTTTTGAGACAGAGTCTCACTCCGTTGCCCTGGCTAGAGTGCCATGGTGTCCGCCTAGCTCACAGCAACCTCAAACTCCTGGGCTCAAGCGATCCTCCTGCCTCAGCCTCCCGAGTAGCTGGGACTACAGGCACGTGCCACCATGCCCGGCTAATTTTTTCTATGTATTTTTTCTTTTAGTTGGCCAATTAATTTCTTCCTAATTTTAATAGAGAGGGAGTCTCGCTCTTGCTCAGGCTGATCTCGAACTCCTGACCTTGAGCAATCCACCTGCCTCGGCCTCCCAGTGTGCTAGGATGACAGGCATGAGCCACCGCGCCTGGCCAGAAAAAGCAAAGATTATTTGAAGCTATAAATGTTTACATAGAAAAATTCAAGAGAACCTAGTTAAAAGTTTACCAATTTGCTACAACAAGGTTCATTTAAAAATGTATTATGTTCAGGCTGAGCACAGTGGCTCACCCCTGTAATCCTAGCACTCTGGGAGGCCGAGGAGGGCGGATTGAGGTCAGGAGTTCAAAACCAGCCTGAGCAAGAGCAAGACCCTGTCTCTACTAAAAATAGAAAGAGAGAAATTAATTAGCCAACTAAAAATATAGAAAAAATTAGCTGGGCATGATGGCACATGCCCGTAATCCCAGCTAGTCAGGAAGCTGAAGCAGGAGGATCGCTTGAGCCTAGAAGTTTGAGGTTGCTGTGAGCTAGGCTGGCGCCATGGCACTCTAGCCCAGGCAACAGAGTGGGACCCTGTCTCAAAAAAAAAAAAAAAAAAAAAAAAAAATTAGGTATGACAATTTCAAATTTAGAATTGTCTTTAGGAAATGGACAAACAACTCAGTGGCAATAGACAGTGATATAGAAAAGTAATTCACAGGAAAAAAAGAAACAACATTGGCCAGTAAACACATGAAAACCACCCAACTCCACAAGTCATTAAGGAAATCTAAAATAAAACTACCCTTCAGGCCAGGCGCAGTGGCTCACGCCTATAATCCTAGCACTCTGGGAGGCCAAGGCAGGT